CTGAGAGCAAACGCCCCCAGCTCCATTTTGCCATCCTAAATCTGACCGCAGAAGAGCAATTCCTGCACGTCCTTTGGCATCATCGAGATTTTTTTTCCAGCCGGGGAAGGCGTTGCGCATGGAGAACGGCTCGTTCGTGCCATCTGCCGGCTCCCTCCCACCCGACGCTGCTCTGCCATCAGTCAGAGCACAGACGAGGCGCTTTGGGGATCTGCTTGGGCTTAAACAGCGCTCAGCGATGTGCTGGGGACGCGCAGGGCTCTGCATACCAAGGGGTTGACTCTTGCAGCCGATGGGTAAAATAAAACTTTAGGTGAAGGGGTTTTTTTTTCCCAATTAGCTAGCGCTCGTTTGCGCAAGCTGGTGTTCGTGCAGAGGAACCGTGGTTTCTTTCAGGGTTTTTTGCAAAAGTCGAGGTGGGGTGTCCTTGATTCCGCAGTTAAATCTGGGGAGAGGATGCTGCAAGGTAGCCTTCAGCCTCGCGGGGTCAGCACGTCGCCTTCTTCATCGCCTGGCTTGGTGTTTCTCTCCCACCCAGGTTGCTCAGTACATCAAATTTGAGATGCCCGTCCTCAGGAGCTTCATCCAGAAGCTGGAGGAAGAGGAGGATCGCGAAGTGAAGAAGCTAATGCACAAGTATGCTGGGTTTGGTGCCGTCGAAGGGACGTGCTGAGCTTGAAGGATGTTGGGGGGAGGGGGTATAGTGGTGCCAAAAATTCATTTGCACAGCCTTGCATCCCTAATGCATGCACGAGCCATTGGGTTTTACATTATTCCAGGGTTTTCTTGGCATTTTGAGTTAAAAGCCCAGCTTGACGCTGCAAAAATCCTCTTTTCTTGTCCTTCGCCTCTCCAGATACTCCATCCTCCGGCTGAGGATCAAGCAAAGGCTGGAGGAGATCTCCGAAGGTCCAACGGCGATGTGAAACGCTTTGCTGGTGCCCCGGCTCCCGGTTGCGTTGGCCGAAGAGCCATTTGCCCGCAGGACGTACTGTACCGAATCCCAAAGCCCCCCTGTCGTTCCCAGAGTGCTCCCGGTGTCCGTCCGGATCGCTCCGGCTCTGAGCCAACCCGTCCTCCCGCACCTTCATCTGCGCAGCATCCTCGAGGGGTTATTCCTCTGCAAATGGAGTTTTGCCCAACGAGGCTCCGACCGGTGGCAGCTTTGGCCAAAATCTGAAATCCCTGGAAATAACAGGGGGGTGGGGGGGAAAAAAAAAAAAAAAAAGAAGAGGAAATCTGTGAGCAGGGCGAAGCCGCCGAGGATGGGGACAAGCGAGGGCTGCAAGCGCTCGAGAATAAGAATTCTGGCTCGGTTTGAAGATGCTCGCTTCAGTGGTGCCCGCACGTGGCTCCGGGTGGAGGACCCACGGCTCGGTGGCAAGAGAGCACAAATAATTCCTCTTTTTTTT